AAAAGGAGTAGCAAATTATATATACTCGGTATCTTCACAAATTCTTTCATATATAAAGCTTAATAAACATTGTTAATTTGTATATACAGACGCATTTACCTCCCGATAGCCAACATCAGTTTGATTTCCACAAATACATTAGTAGGTCACTTGAAGAAGATTTCAAAGTCGTAGTTGGAATAAGGTTGCTCATTTAATTTGTTTTCATTAATTATTATCAAAAAAAATATATTTATTCTTTTACAAGTATTTTGAAATTCTTTACTTAATCAAACAATTAACCAATGTAATGCAGTCCAGTAGTATGGTTTTTTGCGGTTCTTCTCCTTCTCACCAACACCCATAGTAAGTGACAAAGTTATAAATCAATAATTATTTTATCATAACAACTTAAGAAATTTATTAACAACATTGTCATAGACGTTTCTGTTCTTATTAACAAAATTTTCACAATTTTTATCTAATGATAGGCTGGAAAGCATACCTTTGGCTTCCCTTCATCCCATTGATTGTAAGTATTAATCTCATCTTTTATATATTCATAAGTGGATCACACATATTCACTAGGATTTGAGACATATTGTCGACCATATATGCAGATAATACTTATAATTGGAACAAAACTACAAGTGATAATAACAAAAATGGGGAGAAGGACTCATGAAATGGCAGATGTAGTGAAGGGCACACCAATGGTTCAACCAGGAGACGATCTATTCTGGTTTGGTCGACCCAAACTCGTACTCCTATTGATCAACTTTGTTCTCTTTCAGGTCAACATAATATATAACTCACAGTTTTTCAACTCAATTTGTTGCCACTGTGTTCTAAATCATGTCTTTTACTTTTGGTTTTACAGAATGCGTTTCAACTAGCGTATTTCTTGTGGAGTTGGGTAAGCATTTTCACGCAAAAACGCTCGATCTCTTGAATGGTTTTGGTATAGAAAATGACAATTGACAACGAGTTTCTTTCTTTCTTTTTAACAGAATAAATTCGGCCTCGATAGTTGCTTCCATGAACACACTGAAGACACTGTAATCAGACTAACAATGGCGTGAGTTACAATTACTTGAGACTATCTAATAACATATATATATTAATAAGTACTCAGCTTAATTGTTCATCAAACCACCTGATCATATATATACTCATGCTAATGTTAGTATGTTTCTCGTTAATTTTTCAGGGTTGTGATAGAGGTTTTATGCAGTTATGTGACGCTTCCTTTATACGCATTAGTAACACAGGTAAAGTTTTTCGGTTAACTTCAACTTTGTAGCGTTATTGCGACTCGCGACATTCTCGTGATTCTTGAACATAGTACAACAAACAAACAAATCAATCTTTAATTAAGGCTTGACTTTTGTCGGTTTTTGGTTGACTTGTTGTTAATTAACAGATGGGTTCGAGAAAATAAAACCCACCATTTTCAGTGAGGATGTAGCGAAAGCTCTGAAAACATGGCACCACACAGCGAAAAAGAACATCAAGCATGGCCATTCAGCTTCAAATTCACCATTTTCAAGCAGACCTGGAACTCCACTCCATGGAAGTACATCTCCGATGCATCTTTTGCATAGATACCCTGAAAACAGTTTTTATAGCCCTTCAAATTCTCCAAGAGCTGGCTCACGTTTTGAGCACGAAGGTTGGGCGAATGAGTCTTCTCATAGACACGAACAGAAATATGAAGATGCTGACAACTTTAGAAGAGATGAGATACATGATGTAGAAGAAGGCGAGATTGAAGAACAAAACACAAGTAGTTCGACTCAGTTGCCATCAGGAATAAGACCTGATAAGCATCAACATGAGGCTGAGATTTCCGAGTTTACGTTTAAATGAGTAATTAAGTGTTGTATAAAAAATGAATACGTGAGTCATGAATGTAATTTAAACATCTTTGATGTATTCCCACACCTTATACTTGTATATCATTTCAATCTCCGATTCATAAAATCTAAGAACTCATTGAGCGCCATGGAATGAGCACCATAAACATCTCTCCGAAAGCATGCTAATTAGCTTCATTATCGGAAACTTTATCGGTTTTTTATATATGATCATGGAACACATAGAGACATGTTTACAAGTTTTATTCTAAATAATAAAGATTGTTTCCATTACACTCAAAATATGACATTAGAGGTTTGTTAGGTTGGATGGATTGTAATGACGAAAGAAAGAAATGGATGAGTCATCACTAGTCATTACATTCCATGATGGAATGAAAAACGTGTTCTAATTAATAAGGAATGAAAATTTAAGAAAATAAAGGAAAGATGTTGCTTAAGAATAGTTCATTTCATTCCCATGAGATAATATAAATAGATATTTTCATTCCAATGAAACGAACCATTTTATTCATTTCCCAATTTCATTATATCAACACTACCTACCTAGGTAGATAATGCATTAATGCCAAAAAAAAATATAATGTCAAATAGAAAGCTACGTCAAGCTAAATCTGCGCTACATGTGCACAAGAGATGCTCAAAAAATGCTTTTGTTTTCTGTGGTCCTCGCATTAGTTATCGTGTCGGAGAGTTATTTTATTACTTCTAATAAATTAAACGTCGACCAAGATATAAAACATTCAGCAATTCAGCATGCAAAAACACTAACAGTTAATACCAGCAAGAAAATACTATTCATCTATGTAATTAAAATAAAACTAAAAACGCTCTATGTGATAAATAATAATATCATATTTTGAGCCATCAACAATACATGTGGTAAATAACAAGTGGTATTTTGAACCATCGACCAAAGAGTATGTTTTTGATTCAATCAATGTCGTCTTCCAGTTCGTCAAACCCATCTTATTCAAGATTCAACACCCACTCAGAAAATTGGCCTCTGTTTTTTATTAAAATAATTTTACCATGTTTTGATGAAAATAATATCAAGGTATCACTAAGGATTGAACTCTTTCTGTCCATAGTGAATACATGAAGATAATACACACAATAGTTTACATTCTCATAAGTTCTAACTTGACACGATATTTTACTAACTTATGTCTCATCCTTCAATAAACATATCAAAGTCAAGTCCTAACTTCTTGAATCAGCTAAACTTCATGTTTATATAGGTAGTCCTTTTTATTCTTGCACCTGCAAATGCAATTTTTCAAAAGAACTATTAATAATATAAATTCAACCTCTTTTACTTGCAGTATTGAACATATACCTTGGGATGATGATAATAATGGGTTCCAATCTTCAAATATTAAGTTTTCCACATTGAATTCAGCATCTAATATTATATTAGACGGGAATTGGGTATCTCAATATAAAAGATTTTAAGTGGGCTTTAAACTCATCCCTATAGCCGCCTTGTGCACAAGATCTCTTGCTAACCCTTTGGTTAAATGATCGGCAAAATTCATTTGAGTTCTTACAAACTCCACAGATATCACACCAGTCATGATGAGCTCACGAATCATGCTATGTCTAACACCTAAATGTTTAGACTTTCCATTGTACACTTGACTATATGCCTTAGCTAAGGTTGCATTACTATCACATCTGATAGAAATGGTAGATATCGGTTTGGTCCATAATAGAATTTCATAAATCAAATTCCTTAGCCATTCAGCTTCTTTACCAACAGCAGACAATGCAACAAACTCAGATTCCATGGTTGAGTTAGTAATACAAGTCTGTTTCTTGGATACCCAAGAAATAGCACCTCCTCCAAGAAGAAACACCCAACCACTTGTAGAGGAATGATCCACTAAGTTGTTAATCCAGCTGGCATCAGAATAACCTTCCAAAACATAAGGATATCCACTATAAATTAAACCATAATTCATGGTCACTTTCAAATACTTGAATACTCTATTCACAGCTTACCAATGATGTAAACTATGATTACTAGTATAACTACTAAGCCTTCCCATAACATATGCTATATCAAGCTTAGTACTAATCATGGCATACATTAGACAACCAATGGCCCTTGAGTATTCAAGTTGAGACACTGGAGATCCTTTATTAGGTAGATGCTTAAGACTAGGATCTATAGGAGTGTTAACTGGAGAAAAATTCTCAAAGTTAAACTTTTTCAATATCTTCTCAATGTAATGAGATTGAGAAGTTGAAATCCCATTATTTCCTTGTTTAATTCTTATACCAAGAATTGCCTCAGCCTACCCCAGGTCTTTCATTTCAAAACCAGATGATAAGAATTTCTTGGTTTTATCAACTTCTTGTAAATCAGTACCAAAAATCAACATATCATCTACATATAGACAATTGTAACTCCTTTACCAGAAGTATCAAATTTGTTATATACACACTTGTCAGTTTGGTTTAATTCAAAACCATTAGACAAGGAAACATCATCAAATTTTTGATGCCATTGTTTTGGTGCTTGTTTCAAACCATATAATGATTTCTTCAACTTGCACACTTTGTGTTCATTTCCAGGCATCACAACCCCTTCAGGTTGTTTCATGTATATTTCCTCATCCAAGTCACCATTCAAGAATGTAGTTTTCACATCCATTTAGTGAATCACAAGATTATGTATGGCTACAAGAGCTAATAATAATCTAATAGTGGAAATTCTGGCAACAGGAGCATAAGTATCAAAGAAATCAATACCTTCCTTTTTTTTAAAGCCTTGGATAACCAATCTGGCTTTATACTTATCTATTGTACCATCCACCTTCATTTTCCTTTTGATGATCCATTTACATCCAAATGTCTTGCAACCAGGAGGTAAATCAGATAATACCCAAGTATTGTTATGCATGATAGAATCAATCTCATCCTGAATTGCTTCTTTCCAGAAATGAACATCCCTAGAAGCCATAGCTTCACTAAAAGTCTTTGGATCCTCCTCAATATTAAAACAATATTGATGTTGAGATATAGTATTACTCCTTGTTCCTTCAACTAAATAAAGATGAAAATCATATCCAAAAGACTTAGCTTTTCTAACTCTTGTGCTTTTCCTAGGTTCAGGTACAAAACTTGCACCACCAGAAACATCTTCAGCTGGATTAGTACTCTTGCTAGAAGATTGATGAATCATGTCCCTTGGTCTAGGTATAGATGTAAATCTTTCTTCATTAAAGACAACATCTTTTGACTCTATCACTGTATTTACAGACACAGTCATTAGATTCTAAAACATAGAATCTATATGCTTTGGAATGCTCAGCATATCCAATACAAATACAATCTACACCTCTCTCACCCAATGTGTTCCTTTTAGGTTTGGTGAGTCTTACAACTGCTCTACAGTCCCAAACTTTGAGATAACTCAAATTTGGTACCTTTTACACCAAAATTCATAAGGAGTATTCTTACTCCTTTTATTTGGAGTTCTATTCAAGATGTAACATGCAGTTAACATTGTCTCACCCCAAAACCCTTCACTTAATCAAGAATAGGACAACATGGAATTAACCATTTCTTTCAAAGTCCTATTCTTCCTTTCAGCTACACCTTTTTGCTGTGGTGTATAAGGAGTTGTGGTTTAATGTATTATTCAAGTTGATTCAAAATAAACTGGATCATAATACTCACTTCATCTATCAGTACGCAAGACTTTTATTAATTCATTTTTATGAAGCTCAACTTGTTATTTATAAATTTTAAATTTATCAAGTGCTTCATCCTTAGAATGTAGTAAATAAACATAACAATATCTAGATGCATCATCAATAAATAACAACATACTTTTTGTTTCCAAGGGAAGGTGTTGTATAGAAATCACATAAATCACTATGTATTAAATCCAACACCTTGCTTTCCCTAACAACATCTTTGAAAGGTTGTCTAGTGATTTTAGTTAGCATGCATGTTTTACATTTTCCATTATTCTGAAAACTATCATATGACAGTTTAAAACTATCACAAAACCACCAAAACGGTCCTAAAACGGGTCAACTGAATAAAAGTCAAAATTGGGTCAATTATTTAAAATTTGATCCTAGCCAGGGGCTCTGCCCCTTAGACCCCGCCAGGGGCTGCCGCCCCTTGGACCCCGCTCCCAGGGGCGCTGCCCCCAGACCCCTGTTCGTTTAGGGGTACTTGATCAAACGTAAACAAGTTTGTACTCCACACCTTCTTTACTTGTTTAATATTTATCAAGATCACTTTTAGTCAACAAAGTAATCCCATTACACTTAAATAATGATGATGATAACAAATCACCAACATATTATAAAACTGAAAATCACCAAGTAAAACTTTGTTCTATTTCTTAAGTTTCTTGATTCTCTACATGAGAGTTAGGAACACCATATAGTTGTTCTTATAAAAACAGAGAGAAGATCAAAACCATGGATTCGTTAGTCTATTTGGAAACTTAAGGAACTATGAGAAAACCAAGGCTTAGAGAAAGAAAAACATCAAAGACACGATGGAAGCTACGAAAGTAAGGTCCTCAACTCTGATTTCAAAGAGCAAGAAGATTGTCAGCCACCTCAGAAGATGAACCAATTGCAATTGATTGTGATGATGACCAGATGGCCCAGTTTGTAAAGTTGGCTTCCCAAACAGCTCTTATTAGACCGGAGGGTATGGGATACCATCATTTCCTTTTTTTTTCCTCAACTAAAACCCAAGTAATGTGTGGGAAGGGTTACCTCACTTTTTTTATAAATAAAATTAATTTTTTTTATGATTTATAATTTTTAAATTAATACTAAACATAAAATTTAATTAAAAATTAAATCATTTCATTAATTAAAATAAAAATTACATTAAACCTAATATTTAAATAAGTAGAAAATTAAAAATATAGGATCTATTTTGTAATTTTCGAAAACTATTTTTGTGAAGAGAAATCAAAACTGGGTGTATTCTGCCATAAGACCAAAACATAGG